CAGAAGCATATTCCGGCCAATTTGCCTTAGATATGTTATATTTTAATCTGGGATTAAATTGATTTTGAACTCTTGTGGGTACAGAGGAAGAGATTATGATAGGGAAGTGATCACTACCATGAGAAAAGGGTAGTACAGTCCATGACAGAGAGGAAACTAGATCAGGAGAGCAGAGAGATAAATCCACAGCACTCTTTATATTTTGGGATGGGGGGACGCGGCGAGTTGGTGAACCGTCATTAAGGATGCAAAGATTAAAGTCATCTATGATTTCTAAAAATGGAGATGACAAAGGATCACAGAATTGGGAGCCCCACGCCGAATGGTGAATGTTAAAATCTCCCAGGATGACTATAGGTGGAGATAATAAAGTTATGAAATTAACAAGCTCAGACAAAACAGAAACATTAGGGTTAGGGATATAAATGGATAAAAACGAAATATTGAGAGTCTTGATTGCAACAGCGTTAATGCTATCACTATGGGGAGGCAAAGGTATGGAAGAAAATGGGATTTCTCTAGAAACTAATAAAGAAGTACCAGCATGTCCATCTCTTCTGTCATCCCGGAGACATGTATAACCCGAAACCCTAAAATGGGATTCAGGTCTTAGCCACATCTCCTGGACAGCCAGAATGAGAGGCTTAAACTTATTTATAAGATGGATGAGTTCATTTTTTTTATGATTAATGCTGCGACAGTTCCACTGTAGAATTGTTGGGAATGTTATTAATTAAATAATAAAATAAAATTGTTGTAAGAGAGAAAAGCTCAGTAAGTTTTTTGTGTAAGTTTAGGGGGAGTTCAGTATCGGTGAAGCGAGAGATCATACTAATTAACATAGAAATAATGAGTTCTAACAAATTATCATTATGGGAAATGTTTCCATTTCCAGCAAGGGCAAAACCATCAGGAAGAGAGGAGGAGGTAGTTTGGATAATAGCTTGATGAGCTGCTTTATCGTAACCTTGATTTTGGTGTTGTCTAAAAGGATGACGAGGGATAGTTATTGTTTTTTATAGGATGTAGTTACAGGAGAATGGGGAGATGGAAATAAAGGATTAGTGGTATCGGAATAAGGGGATTGATGATTAGAATCCAAGGGCAGACTTCTTGCAGAATCTGCAAATGATCTTCTGACCTGAGGGAATCTGGCTGAAGCTTCTAGGTAGGAAATACTCTCTTGTGACATTACAAGTTTTATTGACTTTTGCTCCTGGAATGCTCTGGGCAAGACGAATCTTTTGCACAATGAGTGCCGGAGCAAAATAAGCATGTTGGAGATTGTTTTGTACAGGAAATCCCTTCATGGTTCTGAGCACAGACGAAACAGCGCGGTGTCGACCTGCACTGTGAAGTTACATGGCCAAATCTACAACATTTCAGACATTGAATTAATGGTAATATATAGGTTTCAACGGGTAATGATGTAAAAAAACAATAAATGTGAGGAGGGAGTTTTTGGCCTGAAAATGTCAGAACCACAGTTTGAGTGGGGACCCAGTTAGGACTATTATTTTCATTCTGAGTTCTTCTATTTAATCTTCTAGCTTTAATAATAGGGCCATAGCCTAAAGGAACCTTAATGCAAGAGATGAGGTCTTCTAGAGTCCACTCTATTGGGACTTGCCGAACTATACCCATTCTGGTCACATTATATGAAGGGATAACTGCTTCATATTTAGCTGCAGGAAGGGCTGGATGATCAATAAAAATGTTAGCTGCAGCAGCAGATTTAAATTCGACGGAGATTCTATTGCGTCCAACTCGCTTTACTCCATCGCAAACTATGTTTTTGATATTATTGTGGAATAGGAAATGTCCGAATTTTATTGGTTTTAGAGCTGTTCCTGATGTTAATTCATTAGTAACTTAAATCAACAGCACTTCACACGTTTAAAAGATGTAATAATGAAAATGAAATAAGCAGCACTTATATCACACACTTAACCTCTCAAAAATCTTATTAATCCCGTTACAAGTCCTTTTTGTGTCGTGAATACAGTTGTCAGTTCTCACGCAAACATACGTAGATGTCTAGCTACCTTCAGGGTTTCGGTTTTTCGTGACGGTGTGCGCGAGTATCGTAAAAATTTACTCTCATCATTTTTCCCTAACGCGCCAAAAGAAGTAGGTATAACTTCAAAAATTCACATTTCAAGTTCCATGTTGAGTGCAAGCTGCAAAGATTATCACTATAAATTTATCAAAAACTTTCGAATACAATGTTTTTATATAGTCTACAGGGAGATTTTTTGAGAAGTGCCCAAATTTACACAGGAGGTTCAGACTCGGTAGTATAATCGTTTATTGAAATAAAAAACAAAGTTTTTTTTCCAAAAAAATGCCATTTTATTCCCTAAAAACAGAACGTGTTGACAATGCAGTTGTCATTCATAAATATCTAAATTTTACTGTGCGCGTAAAATAAATGAGTTGCGTATAAATCACGCACCTTTTGAGATAAGTTCAAACGAATGTAATTAATTACTTACGAGTGATTTTAAATATTTATCATTTTTATATAACATTATTTATGTCTAGAATTTAATTAAAAAAAATGGATACACTTAGAAAAGCCACTCTGTATAATAACTAAGTGTAAGTATACTGACCCTTGGCATACAGGGTTATCCTAGTTCAAAAGTCAGGACATCATTGTTGTGTGTGTGCCGTAAATAGTGTCCGATAAAAAAATTTATCATTATTATTAAATGTTTAAATTTATTACATTATATCAAAATATCATAAGAAATGCACAATTTATATATTTATAAATGGGGCATAATATGCAAATGAACGCGTAATTCATAATAGTAGCTTGGATGTTAAGGATAGGCCAGCCACCTTTTTTTATGAAGAAAATATAGTAGGTATTATTGTTTCTAAGTTATAAAAATATAGTATTTTTAGAAAATTTGGGGAAAACAAAAGTACACGTTGATTGCTCACTGTTTCATTTATTTTAATATTTTATTTTCCATATATTTTTATTATATATTTATTCCCCGCAAAGTTCGAATAACCATAAAAATATTAACATATATTGTTTTTTTTAAGGACAAAATCAATCTTACAAAACCTCCAAATTCAGGCGGCACCCGGCGAGAAATTGATAACTACAGATAGTTGACGTTTACTTGTTACGAAGACTTTGTGAGAAACGAGATCCATCCCGTCCCATTCCTATTCGTTCCCCACGTATCCGTCCCAGTGTATCCATCCCAGTTTGCAGTTAATATAAGTACGTGCACAATTGAATTAGCAACGATTTTTTATATTATATTGTACAATTGGCTTAAATATACTACCATACTATATTATAGTATAAATGGCAACCCCAGTTAAGAACTACGCTTTGTCGTTGAACTTTTCGTTTTGAAAAAAGATTTGAAGATTACAAGGCAAGCTATAATTGGTATAAGCTGACGGCAAAAAATGTAACTATAAACTTATGTAGCATTTTTGGGATGACTTAATTATAAAATTTTCTGTTTGCTATTATTTCAGCATGGATATTTTTTCTACGCATTGAGTCGAATATTTTTTCGAATTCCTATTACATGTAAAAATCGAATGAACTTCACTACCTTGTTATAGTTTGTTCTATCACCTTTTCAATGAGTTTTTTTTATAAGATTGAAACTAACTTATTACATATAAGTTAGTTTCAATCATTCAGTCATCAATTAATTTTTCAATCATTATATTAATTGAATAAACATTAAGTTCCTAATTATCACTTGTTCTAACCCTTTTTTTTTTACAAAGAACTGGTCATTAGGGTACCCACGTGGGCATGAATGAAATGATTGAAAATATTATTCTATTTTTTTTTACGTTATAGATAAAATAAAACGTGTGTCACTGTGCGCACATCGCAATAGTTCACTGCCGTAAAACCCGACTGAACTCGTCGGGGGCCGTAGACTGCAGTATGCAAATACTACAAAAGTAAACCGGTCTCCACGACTATGATAGTCTAGGCGCCGCGCCGTGCCCAGGAGATAGAGAATAGATAATCACGTAACACCGAGGGTTGCACGGTTTAAGAGGGCGTTGATTCGTCGCCGACCCCATGTTAAAACGGTTGCCAGTCAACAATGGCAGATAAAAAACCGAAATGAGATAATACTAGGGGACCGATGGGTTCCCCCGGTCGCAGTATATAGGAGCGAAACTAGTTTCGGTTGTGGCGACAATACGAAGCGTTGTTATGAAGCCGGTGATGACGTCTATTGTCAGCGAAAGGGAATCATACGAGTCTCTTGCGAGTGCTAGTGATGCGTGCACAACAGCTTGTAACGTACGGCACTGCAACGTGGTCAATTAAAAACAAAAATTGTAGCAATTCATCACAGTTGCGCGTGCGGTTGCGCTATTCGATTAGCATCACTCCAATAACCCGAATACGTCGGGTAATAGCTAATTGGACGCCTTAATAGTAGCCATTTGTCCGGCCTAAACTCGATTTTATTGTTGATTGATGACGGATATTTGCCTTTATTGAATTTTATATCAGGTTTTGATTACATTAAATGTTTTTTTTATACATTAGTGCTGTATTGTACTTTGATCAAATATAAAATTTTAGATCGATGTTCAGTGAAAAAGTAATATCTTAAGATTTTTAACCAAATAACAACTGAAGTGAGAATCACTTATTTATTGTTACAATTTCTTTTCTTTAGCTGGGTAATGCTACGTTCTGTAAAAAGAATCCTTTCATTCATAAATGCAAAACAAAATAGTGGTTATAGTAATCAGTAGTTAAAAAACTCCAATTTGTGCCAACGGTAAATTTCGCCTACAATTTTCAGCTAATACTAGTCTAAAAAGCTGCATTTGTTTATCTTGCTGAAACATGGTTGTGCTATGGTTTTGCTTATCGGCAGTTTCAACAAACCAAACGATTGGTACTAGGGCATTATGGATTCGGAGTGGTTTCGCTTGGTACCAGTTCAGAGTTTGCTAAACACTCGACCCATTGTCAAAGTTCACGTGGTGAGCGTCGCAAGGGCGGGGCGAGGGCCGTGGTCCGCGGCGGGTTCGACCAGCTCCGCGGCTCGGACGATAACGGTCCCGCGCGGCGGCCAGCTGCGAACAGATGACTCTCGCGGCGTGGGCCCCTCCGCGCGGCCAGTCCGCTCCGACGCGACCCCACACGCGCACCTATAGCGCGCGCCGCGCAATAGCGAACGGGAAACCGCCTCAGTCAAAGGCTCCGGGTATTTCGCGTGACAGTGCCGAGTGTCAAGTTCAGTGCTGGTAGGAATGCGGCGTGGCTTTTGGAAGGCGTCGCCGGTGTTCGGTTCGGTTGGCGTTCTCCCGTTGTTTAGGGAGATAAGGGCCGCGAATTTCGCTCTGCGTTTGAATTGTTGATGTGATAGTAAACCTAAAAAGTATACTAAGTATACCCTTAATGATGCTGCACCTTTACTGCGTTTGGTCATTTCACTGAACACGGTTTGAAGTTATCGAGGAGTTAGTTGTTTCGTTTGTTTTAATTTTTTGGTCGTCTTTCGTGTGAATGAGATAACTGATTCGATTACTTCCCTTATTAATTGATAGCCCTTAATAATCTTAGGTAAAATTTTTAGCTCTATAAAATTGATCATTGCAAAAACGTAATTTTTAAAAGTGAGATTTAAAGGAGAACTTAAAAAGGTATGAATTGAGTTAGTGTTATATACATTTTCAGTGAAGTAAGCGTTGAAAGTATAACCAATTTCTTATATAAACGGTATTTTTACCTTAAGTGATTGCAGGTCTTATCTAATAACGACTGTATAAAAATAATTAAGTTTAACTCAAAACTGAGTTATCGGATGATCGAAATTTAATTCTAACCGTTAAAATCTCCGTGAAATGACTGTAGGCTTTCGAAATACGGACGTAATAGAATTTTAATTACTCTGCTATTAAAATATAAAGAACACCTCGTGTCAAGTGGTTTGTTGATGAGCTCTGTGTTAAGTTTACCAGGAAATATGATCTGCTATTTGTAATAATGTTGCTCGCTAGGCACTAGATTGGATTGAGACAATAAACCTGGTTTATAATCCTCAATAGATGATGGCACTCTCTCCGTTAGTCTTACTGCCTTGGTGCGGTCAAATCTTGCTGCAGGGTTGAGGTAAATTCCATATTATAATGCGAACTGTCTTAACATGATGTCGATTTTGTAATGGGTGGTCAGTCGAACTAATTATCCTTTTCCGAAAATCGTTTACTAATATGAAGCTCCATTGTTAAATAATGGACTAATTTATGTATATTTATGATATCTTTAGATCAAGTAGAAGCAAAAAGCAATTGATAGAATTTGACTATTTAATAGTCAAAATATTTAATGTGACTTACATTCGTTTATTTGTGTAGAGGCGAACAGGTCGGCTCGTATTTAATAAATTTATCAACTTGTTTCAACTTTTTTTTTAGTTTAGGTTCCTCGACTATTGTTATTGCTAGCGCTAGAAGCTATTTCTTCTCTTCTTAATCGCATTTTTAATAATGAGGTCCTTATCGCTTATTTTCTTTTTCGATTGTACTGGTCATTAATTCAATATTTCCTTACATTCTTCAAAATTGGCAACGGGTTGAAAATGTTAACGTAGTAATTGTATTTCTCGATGTTTTTACAATATTAGAATAATTTAGAATATACTGCAGCTTAATTAATTTTTAAAAAGCAAATTTCCACGTTAATTGTGTTAACAATATATATACTCATATTATTCCCTGTACTTCGTAGTTTACAAAGCTTCAATGAGTAAATTTTATTTCAATGGCACGGTAAAGCACTTTATCATAAAGCATCAATAAAGCACTTTATGCTATATGGTAATGCAATCATGCTTCGCAGCGTTCAATGTGCCTTTTAATGGTTCGGCAGCTAATAGTTCACTCTAAAAATACACTGTATTTACTTTCCCTTCGATGTGTAAGGGCTTTTTGATATAATCCTCGCTCGTTTGCCCGCATTAATATTTATAATCTGTTGCCTGACTCACCAATTACAAACCAAAAATGAAATTGAACAAAATTTTGAAGTTTAGATCATTTGCTATAAAGAATGGAATGAATGAAAGGATGAAATATTTATCTCTCTTAGTTTTAATATGTGATAACTTTTATTAAAACAGAGATATGGAAATTTGTGTTGATTTTTATTGGTGTATAATTATGTAACCGTCTGTCAACTTTTCTATTTCTATGTCAACTTTCCTAACCGTCAAGGTAAATGGTATTAATGCAATTTTTGGTGTAATCCCTCGAAAAAGGTCATTAAAAATCATGCATATTTCCATCCATTGCATGACGCTAGTTGACTTACATATCAAAGATAGACAACGTGAAGTTCTAATTTTGTCATATTCGTTAAGAACTTTAGACGCGGTACAGACGAAACCGAATGCAAAGACTAGTCGGGGTTATGGATGTTAGTTGTGTTCGATCATTGACCGTACTGAGTAGATGTTTTTGTCGTGATTTCGACTGCTGGCTGAATTGGAATTGTGGCACGTGCTCGAACCCCGTTAAATAGTGCGACAGTTTAAATATTTGTCCAATTTTTTGGAATTTCTTAATTTAAGACTTTATTCCACCTGTTATTTAAAAATAAAATTATTTTAATTTTGAATCGAAAATTTTCTTTCCTTTGTTTTCTACCCGACTGCGTCAAAGTCAAAAGGAACGTAATGTATTTGATCTGTATATGTAATTTTCCTACCTTCCAACCGCTAAACGGCTGAACTAATATTGTTGATTATTGTTTATCTAGTCTTCATTCGTATCGTGGTCAGATTTTTTTAAAATTATTGAATATTTTTTTATGAAAGCTTAAGTTTTTGATGCTGCTGTATGGGCCAGTTCTAACCGGAGAAATACTAGTCTCACAAAAGATCGGAGTAGACTACTTACTACTCGTATTCCGTCCGGTAAGTGAGGTTGCCGGAGACCCTGGTATTTTCACCTTAAAAACTGGCGAAGATAGTGCCTGTTGTTGTGAAAATTCTTGGGCGGCGGTGATCACTCAGATCAATCGAAACACATGCGTAGTGCGAACAGATTTGGATTATGGATATGTTTTTATAGATTTCTGTTGTCAAAATTACTACAGCCAGTGTTTGCAGAAAATTTAAAAACCGTATGCAGCTCATAGGAGCAGATGGGCCTATGAACCTCACAATCAAGCAAGTCAAACGCCCATTCTTTATTAAAAAAAGGAAGAAAACTTTTTGCAACGAAGTCGGGGTTTCGACCAGAGCCAGCGTCTGTTATTATAAAGCCGCTATAACAATTTCAAAGCATGTACCTACTTACAAAATAATTGCGTTTCCAAGCACGACTCACAGGCATTAAACTTTTACACACTTCATGTTTCTTGTGATTTCGTGGTGTTAGATTTAGTTATCATTATACGTTCCATTTTTTTGCTTTAAGTTTGAGTATTGACCGTTGTCAGGACAAAATTATACATTTATTTCAGTCGACAAAAAATATAATTTTTTTTAACGATGAACTACCTAGTTCAAAATTCAAAAATTGCACATTAAAAATTAATGTCATTTGAATCAACAAACTGCAATAATAGCGGTCATAAGTAAAGTTACAAAAAAATCCCGGCGAGAAAAAACAAAAAACTAAAGTAAGAGCACCGTTAAGCTGTAATACACAAAATGGATTCCGTAACATTTTTGACTTTGATTATTCTTCTTACAAAAAAATAAAATAAATACAATGCAAAAACGCTTCCTTATGGTGTTGAAATAAAATTGTGTTGAAACAAAACGGTTCATTACTACAATTTTTTTGAAACATCAGTTTGGTCTGTGTAGCACATTTTGCTTGCAATAATTATAGAAGAAACATGCTTTGATTTAGTGATTAGGTTAACTGCATATAATTGGACGTTACACATATGAAATATCATATGCAAAGTTTTTACACTTTACTATTATTCTTTGTCGGTGTTGAACAGTCGGCCTACTTACGTACAGCACCTGTTTCGCGCGTATTATTACGAATGCCTCAAACGTACCAATAATATTTAGAAGTTAAATCGTTTTCAACTATACGATGCGTATATTTATATTACTCACATCATCTACGAACGCCAACCGAATTGAATTGAAGCATCAAAGGCATTTTTTGATATTCCCCGTGCTTAGTTTCCGCGTGAACGGTGTATGTGCGATGTGGTCATAACATTAGTGGAACCCAGTGATGGTATGGAGCCGCAATGCCAGACTGGCGATACAACGTGCTGTCGACGAGCGAGGCGTTTCTGGACGCGAGTGGGCCGCCCCGGGATCCTCTCGTGGCCAGCTACCCGCGCCGGGCCGACCGCTCGCGACCTCTGAACACCTGCCCCTACACAACAATATTCCTGGGCACCCGATCGCACGTCCCCTACCGCCTGCCGCCACATTCCGACTCCGGCGACCCCTACGCAGACGCCTACTCCGTTGACCGCTCCTCCAACCTAACGGACACGTCGAGCTTCGCCCGCTACGAGGACTGTCGTCCGCAGATAGACGACGCGCTATCCGAAGGGAACGAACAGGCGTACCCCGCGGACGATGCGACCGACGGAAGCGTATCGCTGCAAGTCCAGAAAGTGCCATACACCTCCAGCGTTTTCTACATTTCCACCAAAACGGACGCCGTGCAGAAGGATGGCCAGGGGAACAATCTGTTCCTTGTCGAGGCCTCCGACTCGGACGCCCTGTCGACCTGTACATGCGACAGCTTTGAGCGCTGCGAGTTCGACTGCAGGGACTTCGAGCCGTTCTCGGACACGTGCTGCTGCGACCCGCTTAGCGACGGGGTGTGCAGTCGCAGCCCGAAAGCGGTCGAGTCCCCGGAGGACTTCTGCGAGAAGACCGTTGAGGAAGACGGCGCGTCCGCGCGCAGCGATATGGACGGCCTCGATCTGACTCTGTTCGAGCCGGCACGGGCGGCGGCCAATGAGTCTGAGGCTTGTTCAAATGCACAGAACGCGCGGGTGGTTACCGCGGCTCTGTGCGGCGTATTGTTTGCACTGCCGGAGCCTACTATCGGTGAGTTGTGCCCTCGTTAAAATGCATTCGCGTCATTCACCCTGTAGAGGACTTCTGTCCTTGTTTTTAGTCTTTTTCAGGGTCTGGAACAATCTTGACCTGATTAAAAAAGTGCACGCGTCCTTTAAGTTTAACGAAGTTGACAAAAGTAATTCCCACCGTGTCTCTTTGAGACCATAGAACCCCAAAAGCCCTGTAATTGGGAAAAACATAGTCTCTAATGCATTTAATTGTGACGATAACATCTGTATCCATCCGGAAAGCTATCAGGTGCGCTTTCGTCTTGTGGTGTCCCCGCATCGCCGATTGGTCTCGTATCGGATACGACCAACGGTCTGCGACAAATAACTATCGCATCAATCATACTCATTGTCGTAGCCGTTGCACTAGTACTATCACCGGACACGTTATACACATAACGTGCTTAACGCTCGCGTTAAGCATTGTGCGAATGCCATTGTTGATCTTGATTCGAAAATGATTGTAGTCTTTGGTATCATGTATCGTCGCGTCCTGCGTGTTCGTCAGTTTCGTTAATGGGACGTTTTGTGTCAGGTGAAATTGAAAAGGTTCAATTAAACTTTTGCATTTCTGTGGTAGTCGCAATGGTCTCCAATTAAATTAGATTTTATTCATTGTAATCATTGTTTAACTAAATACTTAATTTTATATTAGAAATTCCAACTTTAATCATTTTTCAAGTTAAATTTTGATTAATGTTATAATAGTTTGGTCTTTTGAAGTATATTCTAGTGACATATTCAAAATAATAAGTATTAAAAAATATATAAAACTAGCGGACCGTACAGACTTTGTCCTGTTCACACGTCTTAAATTCGAAAATTTCAAACTTTTCCAATAACTTTGTGAATCTAAAGCATTCTCGAATCCACCTGAAGACACACAAAAATTTCATTAAAATCGGTCCAGCCGTTTAAGAGGAGTTGAAATACTTACACACGTACAGAAGTATTATTTATATAATATAAATACTTTATTATAATGAATGGAAAAACATGAAATTGGCATTAAGCGTTTTTTATTTTAAGAGGAACACGCTAAGCTATTGACGAAATCAATATCTCTGCAGATGAAAAATAGAAAAGACGTATTTCAGGCGGAAGAAAAAATGCCGACTCATGGTTGTGGCGAAGCTTTTAGATCCATGGTAGCGCTACAATTCTCGTACCGTTAACCGTTCGCAAGTTTCTAATTACCGAGAGATAGAGGGCGATTGTTGGCTCGCATGCAAATCCAATAGATGTCGGACTAGATAGGTGTGCACAAAACCACGTGTGTGTCGAATAAATCTCATTTGCGACCGCTGTAGAGTTTCTAACGGGGTCTCGATTTAATGTGTGCTAATGGCAATTGCAAGCACCTATCATAACTCGTGTTAACTCAAATTGACCATTACCCGCTTATTATTTACGTGTGAACGAAAACAATGCAGTGAGACTGTTATCATTTTAGTAACAGTGTATAATTAAACGCACTTGGATGTCTGTTTAATGGTGTGGTATGCGGTTTTGGTATGAAATGGAGTTCCGATTGTGTTTCGTGTACCGCGTCTTGTTTTCTCCCTATTATTATAACAAACATGAATATTCAACATGTATTCGGCACAGAAAGAAAATATTATAAATATTCGAAAGGCATTTTAATGAAAACCTCTGTGTTATAACCGCTAGCCGTTTATTTTCTAGTAGAAACGTGGTTAAATAACTAAGTTATATTTTAGCTGTTGTAGATAGGTAAATATTTATGTTTGGTGAAAAAAAAAAAGAATTGCTGTTTCGTGACAATGTAATGTAATGGTCGAAATTCTAACAATAGAATCTATTCTGAAAAAAAGAAAAACGATAAAACTGTCATAGTTTCGTTCAAATACTACCATGAAATGTTTTGAATTCGTATCGGGACAGCGTAATGCTACGATATACATCAAACGACAAACACCGACATGGTAATTGAATTCGAAATGTTTTCGTTTCGATGAAAGCTTTGTCGTTTTACGTTTTTCGTGGTAACTCTACAGTTACGTAGAAACGTGCAATCGTATTGCCATTGTTAATAAAAATACCAGTGGCCTTGGCCGTCATGGCTGACCATGAAGTTAGTAGTTTAAATTCTTGTATATCTAAATGATTTACGATATTCGTTGGGATCATAGGGTGTTTGTCCGTCAGTAGAAGAGTAGGTACAATCTTCCCCCAGTAATACTGATTTTTCATTAAGAAATCAATCGATTAAAGACACACATATATATATATATATATATATATATATGTATATATTTATATGTGTCTTTAATCGATTATGAGAAGATTTTGATCAATATCTAAGGTTAAATTTTTCATTTGCATTCAATTTTTGACGAATGTGACTTAGACTTCCTTCACACTTATATTGAGTTACAATTTAGACTCCCATACGAGGTTCAGATCAGACGAATCCGGTTCGAAAAATGTAGGTTCATCAACTTCTATGATCAATAAAATCCTGATTTGACCACGAAGAATGAAAAACCGCATAATAAGTCATAATTTCCGTTAAACTCACCTCATAAAGACAATGAAATATCTTTAAGGTCGCAGTTCAGTCTTTAATGTTCGTTGAATTAATTAGGCAGTTTGTGTATGTACTCAGTCTTGAATCGTTTAATTCGCGTAACGATTGTGTTTATGAGATTTTTTCAGTGAAGGTGCTTGTTATGAGAAAATTTTGTACCCGCGGAAAGTTCCCATGAATGGTTTGTTAAACATACAAAAATTCTACTGTAGGATTTCTACAAGAACGTTCTACAAGAGTTTATGTACCCTTTCTTTTTTACGCTGTGTAAGTTACAGTCTTTATATGAATTTAATACGGAAATTTTACAATCCTGGGTAAAGCCTCCACGTGAAATTTATGTATGTAGAACGTCCTAAAAACATAGAATAATTTTATCGTACAGTAAGAGGGTGTTTTCGAAGGGAAGACCACAATATCTAGATCGCATTGGTCGTTAGGCCTTACTACCTAATCCCTTCCACACAAAATACAATACAGATACAAAGCCTCTGAGCAGTGGGTCCTAGTAGAAAATTTTACGTTTACACATTAAATTGGTGTCGAGACCAGGATAAGAACTCAGGTCGGTCTAGTATATTGAATTAAAAGCAAGCGCATGGTCAGTGAGCCACCATGGCTCACTGACCAGCATTGTTCCACCATTGAGCACCAGTATTGTTCGTTATAAATCTTTCACATATTTCATCTAGTAGTTTGCATTTAACACAAGTTCTATATGTCAATTAGAGTTGAGCGGTTGGTCAGGATGGACTGGACGTGCATCCTCACGCATCTATATGACGCACAAGTAAGTGAGTTGATTATACTTTGTAATGAGCTCACCCTTCCTGTATAAGGCATTTACCAAGGGACATACAACCGTATGTCTCTGGAAACGTTTATAAAGATCAAGTACCTAAGGCATGGTTGCATAGATTCATAATTGTATTGAGTATATTTTTTTCCTTTTTTGTGTTCTGGTAACGTTAATCAAATTATATATAGATTAAGGAAAAAATATTATAGGTGAAATAATACAATTAATGATAGCGTTATGTAATAGAACATCATTTAGAATAATTGAACATGCTATTGATTAAATTCGCGGCTAACTTAATAAAAAGATAACATGGCTTCGTTACATGGACACGGACTGCTCGTAATTGAGATGTGTGATATAAAGTATGTTATAGAATGTTGTTAGCGTGAGGAAAACTAATATTAGCCAAGAAGAAGCCATTTGAGAAATTTTTAGAAAGTGTTAAGGCAATAAGGAGAGTTTTTTTTCTTTGTTTCGCACCGAAGCCACTGAAGTCTTTACGGAGTTTTGTAACGAGAACAAAAATTTATAAACAACGGGACAGTTATTGCGGCGGTCGGAGTTTCTCGTAATGGTGAGCAATTTGAGTGTGAAACAATACAAGTGGACGGAATTGAGTTTACGGTAAACACACAATTAACGGAGAAATACATGTTTTCTCTTAATCGTGCGGTTGCTATTATATCCTGCGGAAAATTCGGATAAATTAAGTATAATGTTCCTATCTCAAATTTATTTAATATGTATCTGATTTTAAACAGACAAATTTCTACCGTGGCTGCTGCATAGCCTTACAAGTTGTAAAAATAATTTTATTTTGATTAAGTAAAAAAAAGAAACAAAGGTTCTCTAAGGTAATTTGAAGTTTAGTTCGTTTTATAAGATTTATCAAATACGGATTCGCTCGATGCGGTGGGTCATTGACTTTATTGTTTGACTGAACGTGATTTGTTTAGTGACATAAGATCCCCGGCTAAGGTTCAAGGAATCTTGCTTTGTTGGAGCGTTTAAGTTATTTTAAGTCCGTGAGTTTGTTCATGCTTATGATGTTCCTGTGACGTTTTGTAAGGCTTCGAGATCTCGTAGTTGGAAGTATTGTGTGAAGACCGTATGTGTGTGTGACACATAGCGCTTTGTTAAACATGCGTCATGCATTCTTATACGAGGTTCAAATTGTTTTTCTTTTATATGAGAAGGTGGCAAGCGAACTAGTGTTTCACCCGGTGTTAAGTGATATCCGCCGCCCATGAACATTTTTGCAACACCCGTAGGGTTGGCACCTTTTAATGAAGTGCGCCCCGGTTACGTTGCTCACCAGGCAGAAGTATATCTTTTCCAATTCACGCCGGTCTTCTGTGAGGTCGTGGTATTTCCCTGTACGGACTTGCCTATTCATGTAACAGCGAAATGCAACAGGCATGGCCGGATAATTGTAACCTGTACCTTATTCCACTATAAACCTAGCATTACCGAATGTATTATAGAAGAGAGCATACTCTTTCCTAAAAGGCTGGCAACGCAGTTGTCAGCCCTCAGGTGTTGCAGATGTTCATGGGCTGCGGTAATCACTTACTATCAGGTGAGCCTCCTGCTCGTTTGCCCCTTTTCTCCATAGAAAATGTATGCA